TCTTATAGCTGCTGGTAAATTTGAGGTATGAAGAATGGATCTCAGAATACTGACATTTTGTTTCATAGGTTCCTGTAGTCTTGTTATAATTATAGCTATAAGTTTTGCTTTCTTCCAAATATAAATTAAGCCTTTGATAGTAATAATCCTTCCAGTATTGATCTTCTGAGGTGAGCTTGCAAATTCTCAATTTCTTAGAGACCAACTCTAATTTACACAAATCTGTGATTGTCATGAATGAGAGAACCAATCTGAAAATGTCATCATTCATTACATTATCAAATACTTCAATATTAAATGTTGGCTCATTAACTTGCTTCTTTTTTTCAACCTCAATCTTGTGATAGGTACCACCAAATACAAAGTAATTCATAGCAATACTATCATCTTCATTGGTCGCTTGGAATGGAACAGTTGTATGAAAGACGGGTCCAACATCTTGGCTTGTAAAAGTTTGAGAAAGTGAGTGAGTGTGGGTTACATCCCAACCATTCTTGATATTAATTAAATCAATATAGATACAATCCAAACGGTCAATTCTATCATTACAACCTCCAATGGAGTAAAGTCTTTTACCATTTTCTGATTTTTCCAACACCAATGAATGACCAAATCTTGGAGCAAAGCCATCAAGTTCAGAAATTAATACCTCCGATTGACAAGTACCCTCTTTCACATCCAGAGTAGACAATTTAATCTTTACAAAATCTTTAACAAGACCAGTAGCCGATTTACCACCCAAAATATACCAATCGCCAGTTTCCTCATCCAAAACACTAGCATGATAATATCTTCCCTTAAGTTCAACGCTCAATTCCATCAATTTCCATTCTCTACTCTTCAAATTGAAAATAAACAATTCATTCGATGGGAAACTGTTGTTATCATCATACCCACCAAACACAACCAAATAATCACCATAAATAGTTGCTGATTGACCATAACGTGGAGTGATAATCTCATCACCACTAGGCTCCAGTAATCCCCACTCAAAAGTATCAAATCGATACGACCAAACATCATTATGAAAACCATTTGATTTCCCGCCAAAAATTACCATCTCATCACTACAATCATTCGATTTTCTTTTCACTAGACACGAGGAGTGGAAGTTACGAGCACTTGGTCCCCTATTATGTATTGTCTTGTTTTCCCACTTTTGTGAGGAAACATCCACTTGAATGAGATCGTTTACAAGTAGTTCGGAATTGACAAAGCCTCCGAAAAGATAAACTTTATCGTTATGAAAGATACCACTGTGACCAACACGAGAGGTTAATTGACCGAGGGGCAACGAAGATGTTA